TCTCTCTCTCTCTCTCTCTCTCTGTGTGTGTGTGTGTTGGTATTCAATTTCATAGGGGTTTACAGAAAATTATGCCATGTTAGAACGTATCGTAATCTACTTCTATTCTTGTACGTTTGTTTATGGATGTATGGTAATCTACTTTTATTCTCGTAAGTTTTTTGCCTTCTCGTTAGATCTAGGATGTAATCCATTATTTCTGACCTACTTGTGTAATTCTTCTTCAGACTTCAAACATTAGAAGGTACGTTGTTTTTTTTTCAATTTTATATAAGAATTCATTATTTAGTATTGTCTATTTGTTAAGTCTCCTGAGGTTGACCCTAAAAAGAATCTCCGATTAGTCCCTATGTGCTACGCAGCCAACTAAAAGTCGGCTAACGATTAATCTATGTATACGCAACGACCGAAGCAGTAATAAACGATGAAATTTAACACTTTGAAGAAGTTTTATCTCAATAGAAACTATTTGAGTAATTATTAATATTGTATTAATCATATTAACATATTTTTGTTATGAGATTAGTGGTATTTACGAACTTTGTTATTAGTCATATATATTTTTTTATTTCAAGGGCATTTAGGGTCTCCAATAAATCTCTGCCTAGTCGATTAATCATTTAACCACAGTCCACCGACTAGCTAATGTCGAGTGTTTTTTACAACTTTGCTTATATTTGTAATAACCCGACTTTTCTCAATAAAATATTTTGAGGATTTATCAGAGTTTTACCATAAACATTCAAAAACCAAAGTTTCAAAAACATTTTTACATCCCAAAATATATTTGGGTTTACAACATATCTTAACCATAATTTAAAGCAAAAAGGATATACCAAAAATAAAAATCTAGATCTAGTCCGAGTCATTGATGCTTCTAACTCCTCTCGTACTATGGCTACTATCTAAACCTGCAACACATGAAAATCTACAAACATCAGACAAGTCTGGAAAAGTTATAAAACACTCTACTCAAATCTTCTAATACTACATCACTCTATTCTCATCTTCTCATACTCTACCTTTCTATTCTTATCTTCTCATACTCGACCATTATATTCTCATATTCTCATACTTTTCCATTCTATTCTCATCTTCTCGTATTCTACCATTCTATTCCCATTTTCTCATACTTTTCATTCTATTCTCATCTTCTCATACTCTGCCATTCTATTCTCATCTTCTCATACTTTAGCATTATGTTCTCATCTTCTCATACTCTACTACTATGTTCTTATATCCTCATACTCTACCATTCTAATCTCTTCTTCTTCTTTTACCCTACCATTCTTTTTTTTTTCTTCTCATACTCTACCATTCTAATCTCTTCTCATACTTTACCATTCTTTTCTCATCTCATCATACTCTACCACTCTATTCTCATTAAAACTCAAACAGTCTACTCACATAAAATAATTACATCTGTCATATAGGGGAACAACATAGTTCTGACCTTACTGGTGTAGAATCATCTATACTCAGTTCCCTCATTTTGATCCATCATGGATCTTTTGGCAACATTTCTTTTTATAAATCCCTCATGGATTGCAATGATCCTTTACACATCCTCTACATATAATCCATAACGGATTATTATGGTCCCTTATGGATCCTCTACATGTAACCCCTCGCGAGTTACAATGAACCCTTACGAATCCTCTAAATATAATCTCTCACATATTACTATGATCCCTTACGGATCCTCTACATATAACCCCTAGCGGGTTACAATGATCCTTTATGGATCCTCTACATATAACCCTCACAGGATTACTATCAAAGTTCTCTAAAAGAAACATCTTACTTAGTTCCATTCATGGAAACCTTTATCAATCTTCTCTACAAACACGTATTCTCTTTCCTGAAGGAATTACCTTTCTACTTTCTTATAATCTTTCATATTACTTGGAACATAAATATTCTATCATATAATTTCATTAAAAATATTCTACTATCAAGCAAGAACTTAATTCATTAAGTACTTAATCTAAGCATTCATTCAATAACCTGTAGGTATATAACAAATACCACTAATATCTAAACATGTATACATCCGCATTCATAATATTATAGCTCATATAATCATAATCTAATGACAGTTATAACTTACCTTGTTAGTTAGTGAAAGCTAACTACCATTGGCTCCAAATCTCCAATTGATGCACTTGATCAACCTTCTTTGCCAAAGCCTATTCACATATCATATAAAGTTCCTTCTAACTCTTCTTAATCCATTTGGAGCTTATAACATTCTAATTTAGCAAAAACCATATTGTGTCCGAAAATAGTAACTTGACAAATTCTTCAGAGGAAAGTTATAAGATTAGGGAAAAGAGGAAAGTTAAGTCCAAAGTTTATTGGACCGTTCAAAGTTCTTCAGAGGATTGGGAACCAAGCTTACAAGCTGGAACTACCAGAAGAACTAGATGGTATCCATAACACATTCCATGTGTGTTATTTAAGGAAGTTCACGGGAGAAGTTCCCGACATAATTCCAATCTCAGAGTTAAGGATGGATGAGAATAAGAGGCTAATCGAAGAGCCCGAGGCGATTGTTGACCGTAAAACTAGGAAGTTACGACGCAATATGATCGACTTAGTGCTAGTCCGTTGGAAACATATGAATGGGCCGAATCTCACTTGGGAGACATAGAGTGACATGATGAGTCGCTATCCGCATCTGTTTGCCGATGCATGATTCCGGGACGGAATCATCCTAAGGGGGAGAGAATTGTAATGCCTGTGTTTCGGGGCTAAGCATTAGTAGATGATGTAATAGTCTAGGTGAACTATTGTAACTCTTTTTGAAGCAATAAAGATGAATTATTTGAGTATTACGTGAATTATGTGAATTTATGTGCTTTATACTTAATTATAAAGATATAATTAATAAAGAATAAAAATAAGCGTCAAAATTGAAGTGTGAGATAAACCCGATATCTTTACATAAAGTTGTAGTGGTCGAAACAAGGATTCCGGATATATAAAGAACGCCGAAATCCGAGCTATAACGAAGAAGTTATGGCTCGTCGAAGTTTCGCGACAAAACCGGCACGACGCTGTGCGACGTAAATAGCGAATTTATGATAGAGGACTTTTTAACCTTATTAATCTAAAAAAATCGTAGTGTTCGTTAAACCGAGAGCTTCCATAAAAAGAACACCCAAATCTGATTTCGTATGAGGAAGTTATGATTTTTCGAAGTTTCGGATCAGCAGTGCACAGCCCGAAACTCGAATTTTAGATCGAGCGATTTTTGGCTAACGCAACCTAAATGAGAATTGAAGATCTCATTAATAGGAGCTCAACGATAATAAGACAGACGAAAACGGAGCCCGTATGTAGAAGTTATGAATTTTACGCGGTCATTTAACAGTATAATATCCTCCTACTGTTAAATTTAAGATCAGCCGAGAATTAACCGACGGGGTCAAAAGGAAAGTTGTAGATCTTATTTTTACCTACGCGTGGATATAAAGAACGTCGAAAACGGAGCTCGTATGCGAAAGTTACGGGGTTTAGAAGTCGGCAGGGTGCTACTGCAAAAGGGGTGACGTGGCACAATGTAGGTCACCCACGTTCTGCCACCAGAATGGTGACACCTGGCCATGGACTCGACGAGTTGGAGGCCAACTCGACGAGTTGGGATGCCAGCCAGCCTATAAATAGAGGTGCCGGGTGCAACACTTTTCTCACACCTTTACCCACTTCTTTCTCTCTCTAAACACTCTCTAACACCCCCCCCCCCAAACCCCCCAAAAAGCTTAGGAAAACCTCCTAGCACTAGAAGAAATCCTCGGAGAGCCCAGAGTCTCCGAGAAAAAGAGTTTTTTGGTTTAAAACTCTGCCCGCGCAGAGCCCGGTTTTCAAGCCAACCTCCCGGTTTCGTCAAAGAAGGTTATTTTAAGAAGCGAAGTGTTGTCCGAATCACTCCTTATCAGGTGAGTGCATAGTTACTTTCATCTTACACATAGATATGAAGTATTTTATATAAATTACATGTTATGTGGGCATATCTACTTGAGATCCGTGCTAGATGAAAGATTTAAACTTCTTTGTTTTTAAGATCTAAGTTGTATATGTATTTTATACTTTGAGATCTATGTTGGATGAAAGATCTAACTTCTTTCTTTACAGATCTGAACCTTTTTCTTCAGATCTAGGATGTAGATGTACTTTGTTTACATATCTGAACTTTTTTCTTCAGATCTAGGCTGTAGATGTACTTTGTTTATAGATTT